CAGGAATGAAGATGTCCGACAGCAGACGTCTCACACTGTTGAGCAAACCCCCGTCTGCAGTGTCAAGCATGTTGAAACTCACCTTCTGCAAAACAATTGGGAAAACCTTTATGGTAAAAATTATCTCCAACTGCAGCCTAGCTACTGAGTCATTTCTGATGGTGTTCATTAACCAAATATCCTATGGGAGTTAATGAAGACCAACCAAATGAGAAAAGCAAAGGCTGTTTATTCAGAGCAAGAACTGATTCCTTGCAATAGCAAGGGAGTCGGCCACCATCACTTGCATTTCAGCAGAGACTCAAAAGCAGGCAGAGGAGTGGGAAAGCTTCCTAGTGGAGAAAAGGGAGGCTCAGATGGGCCCTGAGGGGGGGTTGTTGGCCTGGGGAAGCTGAAGGTGGGCTCACTAGAAGCAGGGCATCTTATGTGATTGGTTAAGGGTGCACATTTGGCCTTCTCTGGTTGGCCCCAAGGAAGTATGTTGAAAGTACAGACAAAAATTGAGGCTGGCAGTCATGAATCAAGTCCTGGCCATTTTGACCAATTGTTAGAGGAGTTATTAATTCATTTCCTAGCTGGCTTCCTACCAGGTTGACACAGCAGTCTGGCTACCTGTGTTGTTTATTGCAGGTAAGGGAGGTTGATTTCCTGGGCAGATTGCTGCGGGTTGTTGGTCAAAGTCTTTTGGTAGATGGTCTGTTTGTATATTGTCTCTTGATGCAGTAAATTATTATTCTGACACCTAGTTAAGACATAAGCTTTATACTCTTCTAAATTGCAATCATCAAAATAAAAGCATGGGGACTTCCCTGGTGGCACAGTGGCTAAGAATCCGCCTGTCAAAGCAGGGGACATGGGTTCGCTCCCTGGTCCAGGAAGATCTCACATGCCGCGGAGCAACTAAGCCCGTGCACCACAACTATTGAGCCCACGAGCCACAACTACTGAAGCCCACACGTCTAGAGCCTGTGCACCACAACAAAGAGTAGCCCCCGCTCACTGCAACTGGAGAAAGCCCGCGCCCAGCAACGAAGACTCAACACACCAAAATAAATAAATAAATAAATAATTTTTTTTTTTAAGATTTTAAAATAAATAAAAATAAAAGCATGAAATAAGTAGAATACCAGATGTTTACCAGTTTATTTGCTCCAAGCAGATAATACACCCACTGAAGGAAGGGGAGACTTGTACAGATGCATTTTATTTTGCAAAAAAAAATAAAGTTATACAGAAGACCCTCGAGTAATGCTGGGGTTACGAGCAGTTGGAAAATCTGGGTGTAACGTATAGCCGGCCCTCCATATCCGCAGTTTCTTATCCCTGGTTTCGCATCCTCAGATTCAGCCGTGGACCATATAGTACTGTAGTATTTACTACTGAAACAAATCCATGTATAAATGGACCCACACAATTGAAACCTGTGTTGTTCAAGGGTGTATCCGCTGTAATAAATCTTATTTTAAATGTAAGAAATATGCCACTAAGTAAATGATGTAGAGGGATTGTTTCTAAAAGGAAAGACCTCGCTGTTTTACACACACTCACAGATACAATGTTATATCAATTTTTGTTAATAAATTGAATATTAAGTCCTCTTACTCAACAGATTTTAAGGAACTGTCCTCTTAATTGCTTGCTTTTAGTGCTTTTAAAATATTTCTTTGAAAGTAGTTTTAAATACTTAATACGATGGTTGTTTCCATGGGAAGGGATATTTTGGTAGAATTTTGGTAATTGGGGATAAAGGACTGCTGTTGCCTCTTACCTGATGAATGTTCTCAGGGGTGATGGGTCTGGAAGGGTTGGTCCTGATGAAGAACACACAAACCCCAGTAAGAGCAACATCTTTTCCCTCCGTCACGAACACCTTAGGTTTTTTAATCTTTCCAGAAATACGATTTATTCCTCCTGGAGAGCCAAGTTGCCCTACAAATGCAAAAGAATTTTAGTTTTACGAATACTATTTCCATGTGGTCGCCTTCTTAGAATGAAGTTTCCTTGTTAAAATATTGATATGTTGACTCAGCCACGTGCCCTAGAAGCTCCACCTCTTGGACAACCTCTAGCCTGAGGCCTAAAGGGATCCTAAAAGGATCTTCATTATCATGGTGATCATTTTACGATGGACAAAAATATCGAATCCCTGCACTCTACACCTGAAACTAATCTAATATTGTAAGTCAATTATATGTCAGTAAAATAAGTAAATAATAAAAAGTAAATAAAAGGATCTGCTCGATTGCAGACCACAGTTCATTTCAAAACTGTTGCTCCAGGCAAAAACAGGAATGGAAGAAACCGGAGTAAGAGAGTTTGGTCCAGAGCAGCTTCCTGCTGGAGCTACAAAAGTCATCATTCATGGGAGAAAGGGTGAGGAAGGAGACAGCATCTATTGGCGTGTGTCCTGTGTCAGGCCCTCTGCTTGGCACCGTGTCTACATTATTAAAACTCCCTACAACCCTGAGAGCAGCGGTGACCCGCGCCAAGTCACACACCAACAGAGCCGACATCAAAAACCTGTTCTGACTACAGAACTCCAGAACCTCCACCTCCCGCTGTCATGGTCCAGCTGGCCCTGCAGTATCGCTAGAGTCAGGAGGCTGCTATAGTGGTAGGACAGCACAGTGATGGGTGACGTGTGCTCTGCAGTCAGTCTCCCGGGGTTTCCATCTCTGGCTGAGCTTCTGAGCCACGTGACCTGGAGCAAGTTACTTAATCTTTCTGTGCCTCAGTCTTCTCATCTGAGCAAGGCCCAGAGAATGCCAGGCCAGTCGGCTGACGACAGATGCCAGTCAAGTAAAAACTTGGCCGCTACCTCTTAGCTCTAAGCTCTGCCCTGCTTCAAGCCTGACTCAGGCAGAAACTATGGCTAACATGATTGGGCAAGGGGTGGAAGGAGAAGTTGAGGGAGAAAAGGAGACCCGTATGCTCCTCCAACCACTGCAAACACTGACCTTCAGAGGCCCCTGCTGCAAGGGTGCTGGGGGATGGAAGGAAGGGGGAGGGCCAAGAATAGAGAAGATTTAACTTTAGATCGACTAGTTTTGATCCACTGGATATTTTTAGTTTCTGAATTGAGATTGTGTTTGTAACTGGAAACAACCATGGGCACTTTTCTTATCTAAGAATACCCAGAAAGGTTCACGGGGTTGTGTCTGGATTTCAATTCAAGGTCAGAAAAAAAGCTACTCCTACCGAAAAGGTTTAAAGGGAGAGTGGGAAACTAGAACAAGCTTGCATTTATGTTTACGTCCCTGAATCTTTCTTACTCAATGTAAGACTGACACACAAAGGCCAGCTTCACCCAGTGTCGTTCAGGTGAACTTATTCACATGAGCTTATGTTTTGCAATCTGGGATATAATTTAAAATTTTTGTCTTCTGATTTTTGCACTCAAAATGTAATGCCCTTTCTGACCACAAAATAGAAAACGGATAATTTTGGGAAAATGCCAGGTACTTATGCATGCATAATTTCCTCAGTTTTTAAACAAAAACCATGGTCATGCTGTATGCCAAGAGCGATAACTATTTTCCTTTTCTTCCAAAAGGTCATAAAGGGATTGACCCTATATATGATTTTAATATAATCATAATATATTTGTTTATGTCCCTAGTTTGGCTTTAAAACTGCATTAATTCATATAAAAGTAGAATGGGATATGCCAGTTGAATCCACATAAAGATTTGCAGGTTTTTCTTAAGTGAAAATGGCTAAACTTGTCATTCAATATTATTCCTTTGAATCACAGTCAGTAGAAAATGAACATGATATGATATTTAACTTAAAAACTACTGTTTGGGTTTCCCTGGTGGCGCAGTGGTTGAGAGTCCGCCTGCCGATGCAGGGGACACGGGTTCGTGCCCCAGTCCGGGAAGATCCCACATGCCGCGGAGCAGCTGGGCCCGTGAGCCATGGCCGCTGAGCCTGCGCGTCCGGAGCCTGTGCTCCGCAAAGGGAGAGGCCACAGCAGTGAGGCCCGTGTACCGCAAAAAAATAAAAAAATAAAAAAAATTTTAAAAAACTACTGTTACCGACAACAATTCCTATGTTAAAAAGAAATAGAAAAGAAGCAGATGCCCAAAAGAAGTTCTAGAACATAACTGCACAGAATGCGCTAACATGTAAGGAAGGGAAGTCTCAAAATGCAAATTATTTTATTATTCTCCAGCTGCCAGCACAGCCTGAAAAGGAAAACAAAATATCCCAAATAAAGTTAGAACAACCAGGCTACATACCCACCACCATTTGTCCTTTGCTTGGGGTGAAAACAGAACCTGTTCCATTGGGCTTCACCCACCACACCTCACCACTCCCCACCTGTCCCACCCGCCAAGGTAAAAGTGGTCAGTGCTCCCAGTGGCCTCCTGCTTCATGCCATACTTGGATCAATCTAACAACACATTTCTGGGCTATGTCACATCAAATTTAAATACCTGTTGCTGCTACCTCCACATCCTGACAGTAAAACATGAGGTGACGAAGACCTCCACCAGCAAAAAGCTGATCGATTCTTTCAATCTGGGAAAAAGGAAAGGCAAAGTAATGACTGAATCAGAAACCACGTTTAAATCAGCAGTTACTATCATCTTTCTTATCTGCATAGGACTTCAGCAAACCATATAGAAAGGATCATATCTTTTTAACATAAAACCATGAAAGACTAAATATCTTACCATAGTAAAGACTAAATTCACAGAAGTGCTTTGATTAATCATAAAAATATTTGTGGCATACACATATTTGAAAAAGACTGTCTCTCCATATTGGCTGATTTCCTAAAGTGCTTAGCTGTTAAAGTCAGATATAAATAGAGATGAGTGCTGGGCTTCCCGGGTGGCGCAGTGGTTGGGAGTCCGCCGGCCGATGCCAGGGGTGCCGGTTCATGCCCCGGTCCGAGAAGATCTCACATGCCGCGGAGCGGCTGGGCCCGTGAGCCATGGCCGCTGAGCCTGCGCGTCCGGAGCCTGTGCTCCGCAACGGGAGAGGCCACAACAGTGAGAGGCACGCGTACCACAAAAAAAAAATATATATATATATATATATATAGATGAGTGTTTAATTTTTCACCCATTTGCAGATCACCCATTTGCAGAACAAACCTTTCAAAATCCGGTCTAACACACTACAAATAAGTAATATTCAATTCCAATAACTGCCGAAAACCGCCATGATGAGAACACGTATGATTACGGAATACTCCATCCTATAGCAACTTAGTCCCACCCATGAGGTTCGCTGTACATCTAGAGGTCTGCCAGCTGGCCTGCTACCAGTGGGAGCACTCCTTTAAAACAGTCAGGAGCACAATTTTGAATTCAAATGGGAAGAGAAATGATAAAATCTACATACCCATGGGGATGGCTACTGTCAATAAACCAAAAACAAACGAATGTTGGTGAAGATGTGGCGAGACTGAAACCCTGTGCACTGTCAGTGGGAAGGTGAAATGGTACCGCTGCTGTGGAAAATAGTGTGGCATTTCCCCGAAAATTAAAAATAGAATTATTATATGATCCAGCAATTCTACTTCTAGGTATATACCCAAAAGAATTGACAGCAGGGTCTTGAAGAGATATGTGCACACCCACGTTCAGAGCAGCATTATTCGCAGTAGCCAAAAGGTGGAAGCAGCCCAACTGTTCATTGACAGGTGAATAAATAAATAAAATGTGGTATGTACATATGATGGAATAGTATTCAGCCTCAAAAGGAGAGAAATTCTGACACATGCTATCACATGGATGAACCTTGAGGATATCTTGCTAAGTTAAGTAAACCAGCCACAAAAAGACAAGTAGTGTATGATTGCACTTACATGATGCATCTAAAGTAGTCAAATTCACAAGGAAAGTAGAATGGTGGCTGCTAGAGGCTGGGAGAGGGGAGGTTGTGGAGTTGTTTAAAAAACATAGTTTCAGCGGCTTCGCTGATGGCGCAGTGGTTGGGAGTCCGCCTGCCGATGCAGGGGACGCGGGGTTGTGCCCTGGTCCGGGAAGATCCCATATGCCGCAGAGCGGCTGGGCCCGTGAGGCATGGCTGCGCAGCCTGGCGGGTC